TTTTATATATGATTTAGCTTTTCAATTGTGTAACATAACTGTTTTCTTACTGAGTAACCTCTGATAAACTCATTTGTTCTAATTGGTCTTAGGTGAGAGTTTCCTAACAATAAAATCTTTTTTTGTGTGTTTTGTTTGTTTAGGCTATGTCTTTTATTGGTTTGTTTATCTATACTCTGCCTTGTGTGCTAAGGGTTTTTGGTTGTTTGACTAGTGTGGCCTGAATTTTTATTTTGTGTGTTGCCCTTTGGTGAATTACATACTGAATTTTTATTTTGTGTGTTGCCCTTTGGTGAATTACCTACTGAATTTTTATTTTGTGTGTTGCCCTTTGGTGAATTACTCACTGATCTATCATTGTGCTCATTTTTTTCATTAAAATTTGTACAAAGATTTTCATCACTGTTACATATTTTATCAGATAACTTTTTAACATCAATATTTGTACACAATTTTTCATTTTCTAACAATTCAAATTTGTTTTGAACTTTGCATGCATAGCTTGGTTTGGTTGTACTTTCTGATAACGCATGTATGGTATCATTAATTTCTTCAAGCTTGCTCTGATGTTCTTCGGATGAAGTTTTTATTTGATTGCTTAATTTTTGAACTTGCTGTGCGACTCAGTCCATTTTCTTCCTGTCTTTTGGTAAGTCTTGTGTTACATTCTTAATTATAGGGATCATCATACAGCTTTTCTCCACTAAATCATAAAGTGATGGTTTTTGTAGTGAGTTAAGCACTTTAATGTCTTTCTGTATTTGTTCTACCTTCACAGAGGTTTGGTTGACTTTTTTACCCATTTCTAACAATGTACATTGTAGCATCACTTCGTGCTCGTTCTACATTTGAGTCACTTAATATTGTTATGAACTTTTAGAGTTTTCTCTATGTTGTTTACTTTCTGTATGGTTGCTGTTAAGTTACTTTCAAGATTAGGCAAATCTCTTTTTAATGTATTGATTGATGTAACTATTGATTCTTGAAATCTGCTGGCTACACTGTCTAGATAAGAAGCATCCAGTTGATTGTCTGTGGATGTCTGACATGAAGTGTTGGTGGTTGATGTATTTTTGTTGTTTTCTATCTTTTGAATAAAATTTTCAGGTATAACAAGGCACTTTTGGCAGTGTATTTTCTTTGCTGTTAATAAAAGATTGATAAAATTGACTTTGAATGTTAAGTCATTATATATTTGAAATTTCGGCTGCCGTATATGACAAATTCTTTTGGTCACCCTCTGTATGTACAATATACTAAGTATTATTTTTTTATAGTCCAAATGATTATGATGTCTGGAAAGTGGTACCCCGATTCCCAGAAAACTCCCAAACTTTCAATAAGAACCTAAGAACTGAGAGATATTACCAGAAAACTTGATTTTTGCTCAATAAAAAGTACATTTTTACTTCAGGAATTTGATTTATGTATCTTGAATAATTATGATAACCATATTGTTATACAAGGAGTATATATGATAATGGCTGTTTTTGTGGTGCATTTCTCTATTCAAACATTGAACTACTATCTTTTTACTCCTCTTAGGATTGCCTTTCGATATTGATAAAAATTATTTGATAAAAACTTAACATTGTAGATGAATTATTGTAGGGTGACATAGGGTTATTTTCATTTCCACCATTTCATTTATTTAGTATTCTAGTGTCAAAAGTTGGACATTTTTTTCATTTTCTCTAATTTCTCATCAGATTGTTAAAACATTTTAATGTTTAGAAGGTGCACTTTATTTACATATTCTTTTTTCCCGATACTGTGCCCACTGGCAGATTTAACGGGGAGGGATTATAGGGCACTTAAGACACAGTGCAGGAGGTTTTGCCAGGATGACACAGTCGACCCTTAGTTCAAATCCTGCAGAGGAAAGAACAAAAATTTGTTACCACAATCTTTCAGATCTTACATTGTTTAGCTAAATTTCAGACAAAAGTACATGTACGGTAAGCCCTGTGTAACCTAGGAGAATGTCTGTCATAACTTCACATATATTTAAAGTACAATGTGCACAAATGTATATAACAAATGGATATTATTATGACTGCATGATAAGTCTTATCAACCTAAGTTTACAAATGCAGTCATAATAATATCCTTTTGTTATATACTGTCAGTGTTGTTTTGGAGGTATCATTTTATGTATGCATGAGATTATCTTATTCATCATGATAAAAATAAAGAAATCAAATTGCATATCAGCAAAAAATAGCTTAACATTTAATTTGATAGTGATTTCGCCGTTTCTAGAACACTTTTTTTGTGATTCTATACAAGAATATTTAGTTAGTGCACAAGTGCATGAATCAAAATTTATGAAGGAAAAAAAGTCACAGGAAATTATGTAACTGAAAAAAAATCACAGGAAAAAAGGTCACAGGAATAATTTTTTTAATGTCACGATTGTCAAAAAAATATAGTTAATTTTAGATATATAAAACTTTTGAGTATATATATATATACTTTTAGACAGATCTTTATTAAGATGTAGGCAGAAACATATATAATGTATTATATGACTATAATGATTGGAAAAGTCACAGGAAAATTAAAATTATTTGAAATTGACTGTATGTAGTTTAAATATCAATTGGATAGTGTTTCAGAATATTTCGACATCTTCAGGGTTTGAAATTAGCAAGGGCCCACATGCCAATGGCCCCTATAATTTGGTGTGGGCTACTAAAATTTCTGCTTTTCTTGTATAGAACTATATATATTAGCTACCAAATTTTAAGCTGCAGGCAACCATGCCAAAATTTTAACTTCAATCCCTGATCTTTAATGTTATAATACAGGGATGTGGTATTTCAATGTTTGTGTTTATTGTAATATGATAAATTTTCAATGACTATAAACTAAATTTTGTCCATGAAAAAGTCAAGATTTTAAAACAATTCAACAAACATATATATATACTTTTAGACAGATCTTTATTAAGATGTAGGCAGAAACATATATAATGTATTACATGACTCTAATGATTGGAAAAGTCACAGGAAAATTAAAATTATTTGAAATCGACTGTATGTAGTTAATATCAATTGGATAGTGTTTCAGAATATTTCAACAACTAATTTGCTTCAATTTAGTATTTACATTTCCTGTCAATCGTCTACTGTCTGGACAGATTATAACACTTAAACTCCTTAAATTGATGTTATTTACATGTATTTACCTTTAAAAGTTCTGTATAACTTCTAAAGTGATGAAATACTACTAAACATTTGTACAAAAATGGACATTATTTCCTATCAGATTTGTCACTTTTTTTCCTACATTTAAATCAAATGTGTGACTTTTTTCCTACCAAATTTGTAACTTTTTTCCTTTTACCATAGAAACAGCTGATCTGCAAACTTTTCCATCTACCTACCCCAGTACATCTTGTACTGTGTTATAATCCTAGCCTAGATAAAGCTGACAAGGAAAGGCATTACTTGACTTACAAAAGATTTTTTTTATATTCTAATAAATTGGACGAGTGGTCTATATAGAGGGATGGACACAGCGCAGGTTGTGTTGCCAGGATGTCACAAACGCATTGGTTCAAATCCCATGGAAGGAATCACAAAGATTTGCTTCCACAAATTTGCAGATCTACATACATTGTATGTATATACATTTGTAAAAATAAGGAGATGTGGTATGATTGCCAAGGAGACAACTATCCACAAGAGTCCAAATGACGTACATGTAGATTTATTCAACTTAAGGTCATTATATGGCCTCCCCTAATCAATGAGTAAACCCACACAGTATAGTCAGCTATAAAAGGTCCCACCATTTGTCCATGTCAAAATGTAAAACAATTCAAATGAGAAAACTAATGTCCTGATTTATGACAGACAGAAATCAAGTTAACAAACAACTGTTGAAATGGAGGATCCTGGACAGGCACATAAAGAAAATGGCAAGGCTTAACATGTTTGTTATCACTTCAACCATCCCATTCACCAGGGACAGTGGTGAAACAGCACAGCATAAGAACAACTGTAAAAATCTGTGGGAAATAAAAAACAACTAACATAAAGAACAAAAAACACAAGGGTCAGATTTAAGACTACTTGCAGTTACTGGAAGCTAGTTCAAAGCCAATTACATTATAACTGCTCTCCCAATCTAAAGTATCAATAGTACTAAAGGCATCACAAAGAGTCCTGAGAAAAGCATGACCTTGTGCAATGCAAAATATAAGTTCATAGTATCAACAGGATGAAGTAGCAGTACCATACGTTTTATAACTATATAGCAATAACATTGTTGGACTAAATTTCAGTCAAAGTGTATATACATGTATATATATATAAATATATGCATTCATATTTATACCCCCGCTTTAAAAAGTGGGGGTATACTGTTTTACTTCTGTCTTCTGGTTTCAGGGTTTATATAAGTCAGCTATACGTTTTCAGATTCATCACTCAACAACTTCCTGTTTACCGAATACTTACATCATTTTACCCATGACATCCAAGTTGTAAATTTTCGTCACATTTTTCTCAGGAACTACATTACAAGGATTTCCGAAATTTGGTTTTAGGGTTTATATGAGTCAGCTTTACCGTGTGATGCGTTTTCAGATTCATCACTCAGCAACTTCCTGTTTACCGAACACTTACATCATTTTACACATGACATCCAAGTTGTAAATTTTCGTCACATTTTATGTCAGAAACTACATTACAAGGATTCGAAATTTGGTTTTAGGGTTTATATGAGTCAGCTATACTGTGTGATGTATTTTCAGATTCATCACTCAACAACTTCCTGTTTACTGAAATATTTGGGCGGGGTATCATCAGTGAGCAGTAGCTCACAGTTTCACTTGTTTCTTACTTCATCATCATTCTGTCTATTCCCTTTTATTGCCACATTTTAATTGATTCATATGTTTTGAGAACAGTCTCTTCAACTAGGGATGTTAGAATAATTAAAGATTAAGTGCCTATTATTTGATGGTACATTGTACTCTTTAAATATTACAGAGAAATGTTGGAGCAATCTGCAGCTGAGTTGAGAGCTACTGTAGAAGAACTAGAGAACAGATATGATACAGTTGACAATGAAGGTAATTTCTTGGAAAGTTATGTCCTTGACAGTTTAAAACTTTTGCTGCATTAAGTGCAGCTCCACCAGGAAAAGATCTTAACTATTATTGTATATGGTAATTATGGTTGGTGATTTCTCCATTTGTTATTATCATATACAGTCTGGCGACCTTGAAAATGACTGAAATTGATAGTATACAAGTATCTGAACTTAAGGATGTAGTCATTTCAGGTTTAGGAATTTTTGGTTAGATGTTCGGACTCCTAGGTTTTTTTCCTATGATACAGGATAAAATATTTTGCCGCATATCACCCACTTTTCTTTTCATAGAAGACTTCAATAGCTCATAAAAGGTCATTACCAAAATTTAAGCAGATTCTATACTTCTTTATTTGAGACCCAAATAATGCCAATGCTAGATATAAGGCTAAATATAAAAATAAGAAGATGTGGTATGATTGCCAATGAGACAACTCTCCACAAGAGACCAATTGACACAGAAATTAACAACTATAGGTTACCGTAGGCCTACAACGATGAGTAAAACCCATACTGCAAAGTCAGCTATAAAAGACCCCGAGATGACAAATGTAAAACAATTCAAACGAGAAAACTAACGGCCTGATTTATGTACAAAAAAATGAACGAAAAACAAATATGATATACAGCAACCAACGACAACCACTGAATTAAAGTCTGTGTCAGCCTTTTCACACCATTTAAAAAAAAATCAAATATCTAGAAAAGGAGTTCCATAACCTATCAATATTTTTAGCGTATTTTGTTCCTTGACTAATGCTCTTCTGATTTATAGTATCAATTTTAAATTCCAGATTTTTGAATTTCACCGGACTACATCAATAAAAAGCAGGAAAAAAGTGAAAAGTCAGTGTCGTTGTTTTTGAAATATAAGCAATTGAAAATTTGGCAGGAAAAGATTTCTCTAAACTTTTCACACATTTAACATTGGCACAGTTTTCCTTTCAAAAGCTATAAAAAAAATAACAAGGATTTTATATGATGTTTAGAAATTACTCTTTAATCTATATGCAATAAAATTATGAAAAGAAAAGTAGGGGTTAGTAGGCAACATTTTTAAATGGCACTTCATGAATAAAACCAGAGGATTCTGATATCTGACAAAAAGTCAAAAACTAGAGGAGCGAACATCCTTAATTGGATCTGATTTTTTGAGTTAATAAACAGAAAAACTAAGTAGTGGAGGGGGCATTAAGTTTTACCCTTGTCCGTCTGTACGTCCCGTACGTCCCAAAATTGGTTTCCGTTCTCTAACTTTAGTTTGCCTCAACCAAATGTTATGAAACTAATACACAATGCTTATTACCACAAAACACAGATCAATTTTGAATTTGGGTGGCGCCACTTTTACTGTTCTAGAGTTATGCCCCTTTACAAATGGAAAAATTGCTGAATTTTTCATTTCCGTTCTCTAACTTTAGTTTGCCTAAACCAAATGTTATGAAACTTATACACAATGCTTTCTACCACAAAAAACAGATCAAGTTAGAATTTTGGTGGTGTCACTTTTACCGTTCTAGAGAAATGCCCCTTTACAAATGGAAAATTGCTGAAATATTTGTTTCTGTTCTCTAACTTTAGTTTGCCTCAACCAAAAGTTATGAAACTTATGCACAATGCTAATTACCACAAAACACAGATCAAGTTCGAATTTTGGTGGTGTCACTTTTACCATTCTAGGTTATGTCCCTTTACAAATGGAAAAATTGCTGAATTTTTCGTTTCCGTTCTCTAACTAAGTTTGCCTCAACTAAATGTTATGAAATGTATACACAATGCTTATTACCACAAAACTCAGATCAAGTACAAATTTGGGTAGTGTCACTTTTACAGTTCTTGAGTTATGTCCCTTTTTAACGTTATATGCAAGCGGGGGCATCATCTGTGTCCCATGGACACATTCCCCATTTATTTATTTGAAACTTTAAGGAATATATTATGATATCTTTTCACTTTTGAAAAGTGACTTTCTCATATTTTAACTATTGACCATTCCAGCAAAACATATAAGTAAGTAAACAAAGTATTGCTTGTTATATTAGCTGACTGAGCCATTACTTGGTGTTCATTATCAATAAACTTATGCACAAAGAACTAGGGACAATATTAGGCATGTAAACAACTTTGAACTTTTTTAAAAAATAAATTGCCATCAAAAGCAAATTAACAGTTATTTAAAACGGGTCAACCTAGGTTGTCTCTTGTTAGTATGTGTGCTTGCTTTGAGTGCAATAGGTCATGTAAATTAAACCAAAAATTAAAAAAATTACTATATCCTGTTTCTCTGATAAGCAAGGACATAAAATAGTAAGAGCAGAGACTGACTGGCTGAAAGTCAGAATAATGTGTCCATGTATGGTGACATGTTTTCTTATTGGCTGACTTTCCTTTTGAACTAGCATGTTAAAAATTGGTGTTGGTCTAAGATAAGTACAAAATTAAGCCGGAAATATATTCCTATCACATAATTTGGCAGATACCTATCAATTATTTTAATACAGTTATCTTCTTTCTTTTTATAAACAAACCCATGTTTTAATTCCAATAAAAGCTGTGGTACAACATCAGTTGTTTTTTGAATGACACAGGAGATAAAGAATGACATTATGTTGGTGTTGCTAAATAGGAAATTAAATAAAAGCATTTTTAAAATAAGTCTACATGTACACTTTTCAATCGTAAAACAGTTGCCTGAGTTGGTCTTCCAGAACATTTTTGCTTCATCAAATCAAAATGGCTGCCTTTAGAACATGTCTTATAGATATATAGGTCAGCATCAAGGTATGAAAGTTGTGAACCTCCCTATTAGAATCGAATAATTTGTTCATGTAATACTCTATTCTCTTTGTCCATATCTTTACACTGAGTATTAATGAGGTGACCATGTAAATTGTAAAGTGTTGACAAATGCCTTCCCATATTAAAATGAGCATGAAAGAATATTTTCTTTATTTTAACTCAATTTCATATGATTTGGCATTGTTATACTTTATTTTAAAGACCTAACTGCCTACGGATGTACATCTCTTTTACTTCCTTCAAAAGAATATACCAATTTTTCTCAAAGAAGAAAACAGCATATCAAAATATTTTGTCCTTTTTTTAATTTGACATGGTCTGATTTCAAAAGGTATAATTGTGAACCGTTTTAATAATTGATGAGAAAATGTTCAAAATTTTTAACATGTAGATTTATTTTAGAGATTTGTAGTAAGATTAGCATTCACCATTGTTTTATTTTTTTTGAGATATTTAATTTCAAGAACATTTTTAAAAGTTGATTGATTATAAATGCTGTAGCTACTTTTGTATGACTTTTTGGACAATCCATGAGGACAGAAGAATTCCACGGAAGTGAAAAAAGTCTATTAAACCGTGTATTTAGAGGAGAACAAGTGGTACTTTGCCAGTTTTAAGCTAGTAGTTTTATGATACAAAATATAGCATTATAGATCAAAATACATTTAATGATAATTTATATCAATATACGTAAAATCTTTAAAAATTTGTAGATATTTTTACCTCTATATTCATGATATATTTCTCATTTGAAAAAAAGAATGAAATGTTGAAAAACAAGTTAAATCAACCATGCCAGTTTTCAAGCTTATTTTGTTTAAAGTGGCATTTCAAAAGAGAAATGGCAATTTTTTGGCAACATTGTTGCTACATGTATATACATTTGTATATATAACGATATCACATGTAACATTGCTTTGCCACACCATGCCATAGACATGAGTGTGCATATACACAATTCTGGTGATAATTGCAAAATTTCCATGATTTAGGAAGTACATATATATATTTAATTCAACCTTTTTTTTTTGTTGGAAAAATTTTAATAGACATTTTATTGAGAAAGTATCACAAATTGTCATGATAAGCACTGTCAGCTAGCAGCTTTTAATAGCTTGCTTCATTGTTATACGGCCACAAACAAATTTTTGTGGTCGTATATTGGTATGACGTTGGCGTTGTTGTCGTCGTCGTCGTCGTCCGAAGACACATTAGTTTTCGCACTCTAACTTTAGTTTAAATGAATGGATCTCAATGAAATTTTACCATAAGGTTCAATACCACAAAAGGAAGGTGGGGATTGATTTTTGGGGTTATGGTACCAACAGTTAAGGAATTAGGGGCCAAAAAGGGGCCAAAAATAAGCATTTTTGTAACTTCCAGACAATAACTTGTGTGTAAGTGTATGGATCTCTCTGACATTGTACCACAAGGTTCCATATCACAAAGGGAATGCTGGGATTGATTCTGGGGGTAATTGCATCCAAATTTTAGGAATTAGGGGCCAAAAAGGGGCAAAAAACAAGCATTTTTCTAGTTTCATGACAATAACTTGTGTGTAAGTCTATGGATCTCTCTGACATTGTATCACAAGGTTCCATATCACAAAGGGAATGCTGGGATTGATTTTTAGGGGTAATTGCCTCCAAATTTTTAGGAATTAGGGGTCAAAAAGGGGCAAAAAACAAGCATTTTTCTAGTTTCATGACAATAACTTGTGTGAAAGTGTATGGATCTTTATGAAATTGTACTACAAGGTTCCATATCACAAAGGGAAAGCTGGAATTGAGTTTGGGGGTAATTGCCCAAAAAGTTTAGGAAAAAGGGGCCAAAAATAAGCATTTTTCTAGTTTCCAGACAATAACTTGTGTTCAAGTGTATGGATCTCTCTGAAATTGTACTGCAAGGTACCATACCACAAAGGGAAGGCTGGGATTGATTTTGGGGGTAATTCCCTCAAAATTTTAATAATTAGGGGCCATAAAAGGGCAAAAAAACAAGCATTTTTCTAGTTTCAGGAAACAATAACTTGTGTGTAAGTGTATGGATCTTTATGAAATTGTACTGCAAGTTTCCATATCACAAAGGGAAAGCTGGGTTTGAGTTTGGGGGTAATTGCCCAAAACGTTTAGGAATTTGGGGCCAAAAAACAAGCATTTTTCTAGTTTCCAGACAATAACT